CCGGGTCAATGGCTTTTTTCAGATGCATATTTGAACGATCTGAAGAGGAGTGCTGAGCTGTAAAAGTGCGGTTATATATTTATAGCGGCAGACAGTGGTTCCAATTTCAAATTCAGAATTTGAGTGACGCGATGTGCTGAATTGAATTTGTAGGTTTTTTTGCTGTCTGATGATTTTGTAAATCTTCTCGTTTTAAACGTCTACTCCCTTAAAAAATGAATTTGCTCTATTCTATTTTGCTACATCCAGCTTGGAATCAGCAAACTACTAAGGGGTTCTCTAGTTAGTGGTCAGACTGTGATGTATAGGAGAAATGGCTGTGCATATCCACCTGGGCGTTTTGCGGATGAATTACTATATGATTCACCCGATCAGTAGTTAATTCACAGTACGACAGAAAAATCATAAATTTTTGAAAAATCTCAAGGTTTCTTTAAAATTAGATCCTAATATCTGTTATACATTCATTTTAAAAGTTGGCATTAGACTTAAATGGGTTAGCCAGCAATATTGGTCGTACAGTTATTTTATGTAGGGGAGTTTGAATTATTTGTACTTGCGTGCTCATGATCATTTACGATATTATGTCATGCTTGTTACATCTAGTGAATCTTTACACATGCCGTAAGGACTCGGACTGAAAGGTAATGGTTCGGATATCTTTGGAAAAAACGCTAGCTCCTGACATTTACATATCAGTAGGAAATAGCTTTTTTAGTTACAAAATGCTGGGTAAGAATTGCTAAATTTTTAAACACATGTCTTTGTAAAACTAGCGATATGCGATAAATGGGTTGAGATAATTTCAGTTTTGCTCGTTTTCGCTTAATGTTGGTCAACTGCTAATGATGGTAATACGCCTATAGTTAGTTGTGAATGAGTTTCTAGATATGGTGCAGGTGAATGGAGTAGTTGCGTTGCATGTCCACCAGAAGCTCATATGGAGTTGATTTCAGGAAGAAATGTCGAATAAATGCCACAAGAAAGACCTTTCAGGCAGACTGGTTTTGCAGCCGGACTCGGTGCTTAACGTAAGCCCTTTTATGTTGCAGAAATTTATACGATTTTGTTTTGTCGAGGTGATGAGTGCTTCGTATTTTGCTTCTACATTGTTTTGATCTTTCATCTTCGAGACAATATTAAGTTTTCTGGAATGCTTCTCGTTCTCTTGTGGGTTGTAATCGGAACTATTATTTACGTTGCATACTTGCGGACAATATTTTTTGAGTTTCCGATCCTCTATCCCCTAATACAGCCTATTTCAAAATGAACATCGAGGTCTTGTTTTACAAACTTCCAATATATCTGTTAGGACGGAGGCGTACAGAAAATTTGATCCCGCAGAAAGCTCAGAATGGATTCTTTCATGTTTTCCCATATATTGAAATGTCTACTTGTTTCTCTCCACTAATTCATTTCCTCTTGATTGTTTTTATTAATTGTCTTATTATTATGTATGTTTATTGTTCTTTTCGGTGCATTGTGTGTATACTGTTATACCAGTAGGTCAGAACTGCTGAAATGTTAGTCGGTGCTGGTTTTACTTGGTGTTTCCGATAAGTTTAGCAGTAAACTTTTTTGATTTTATTGAAGTTTGGTGGAACTGCTTTAAGTATGCAGTCTTTCCATTGGCATTTGCATCCTTTATTTTTAATCAGTCTTTTAATTTCAGATCTTTTCGAAATTCTGGAGGTTTATTGTTTTAATGAGATCGGAAAGTCGTTTCTGCATAAATAAATAAAGCCAAGCATTAATTAGGTAACATGAGAGATTACTGAGGAATGAGAAGTTCTCATTCTCTGATCATTCATTATTTTAATATTCAGAATTCGTTTATTTTCAGTGGTTGCAACCACGGCGGACGAACAAGATGTCCTTGCCTTCTTTCAGAATCTTAAAATTTTTCCATCTCATTAAAGATTCAAACTTTTCATTGAAGATACCAAGCACGAAGAGTTGGAGGGGCGTCTGAATTCTTTACATCCAAGTAACGGCGCACATCGCATTGTGTTGACCTCATTCCTTCCTTCGGCACATCCAGTACAGTCAGTTGGGGCTAGTTTCAGCGAACGGTCATTCAGAGGATTGGAATAAATAGACGATCTAAAAGAATACAACAGCGGATTCTTTGTCATAGTTGGAACCTGCTCCAGCAACGCATTTTGAACGTCAAAAACAACAAAAAATTTATGATGTTAAAATTACTGATTTAAAAAAAGTCTACCCTGGAACATCAGGGTTACATACTGCTTTGATGTAAAATTCATTAGTTGGGCAATTTAAAGAATATAAATTTTCAACCCATCAGTGCGATAAGTTAAATTATGCACAAATTAAAATGGGCAAAAGGTAAATTTTTTTTTAAAAAAATGGCGCATAGACCGAAAGTATTCCGGAAATGATAGCTGTTTAAATAGTGTCGAATAACTTTGTGTTTGATTCGTTGCAATTTTTAATGTAATTTGTTTCCTGGTTCCATAGGACTGCAACAAATAGTCCTGTATAGTGCTCATAAAGAACTATGGAATAATGAACTACATGTGGCGTACATTTATGCCCTGATAACTTGCTTGTTTTACTTATATGTATCTGCTTCAGTTAGTTATTTCTGAGCTTCTGGCTGATTCATTTTACTTACTCAGTGATCAGTTAATTTGCTCATTTATTAATATATCGTACTATATTCTTTCGATTGATGGCAGTTACGAGCGTTCTTTGTGCTTTTGTTGAACCAGGGCTTCTGTTCACTTCCCTTCTCTGATGATTATTTAGCTTTTCATTTGTTTATTTGCAGGGATTGTTCCCTGCTTGAGGATACTTAATCTCGAATCGTCTTTCATTTTCAGATATGATCTCGCCGTCAAAGTCATTTGCCGCGGTTAGCGATGTTTAATCAGATACTGGTGGTTGATCAGTCAAAGTACTAAATTGGTGCAGCGATGGAGCAAGAGCAAGGTTGCCCTCAATCATAGTTGCTTCTTGCTTAGTAATTCATTACTGTTTCTTTTTTCATGATCATCTTTGTTGAGTGAATTTTTTCAGTTCTTCATTTTTGGTATAGAAAATATTGTTTTAAAACAGTATGATTTTAATGGCTTAATTGTTTCATTGTTGTGGCTCGTAATAATGGTTTTGGTTAAATGTGATCATGGTAGCTTTGTGACCGTTATACACTTGATAATTTACTGATACAATGCTAGTCCACGCGATTCCAAAACTGATTGTCTAAGAACTTCTCTCATTGATGACGTGGCTATGACTTTTTCAATTATATTATCTATTTTATTGTGTTAATTGATCTTCCGCTCAGTGTCTAAAGTCGGTTCTGCATCCATGCACTTAATATACTATTAACATACCTGGGAATCGTGGTCTCTTTAAAGAGTCCCGTAGGCTGTCGGTAGTAAGGGACGGTAAAATTATATCGTGCAGATCCGAAGGAGCGATATATATTCGTATGGAATGCTGCTAATTGAATTCTTTTAGACCATATTTACCGAATATGGGGAAGATGACTCATGTCCTTGGAATTTTGACGAATACTTAGAGGTACGTATTTGATTTCTTAACTTTCACGTTTCGTTAGGCAATAGAGTTCTTGTATAGAAAAGGACGAGAATGCTCTGCGAAAGGCATGTTGACTCCATGATATGTAATGATTGTGATGATGGCGACCTCATTCACCACTCCGTGACCAAAATCGCAGTCGTTGTCTTCATAACATTTTTAAAGAAGCCTCGATTATAATAACAGGGATAGTAACGATAATATTTGTCAACATCATGCTTGCTTTAATGAACCCTTCATTCTAAAGGTGTTGAGGATCGTCACGATCTTCATCTTTATGGCCTTTGTAATAAAGCCCTGTGATAATTATGATAATCACAGTAATATTGATAACTGATGCATTGTCTTCGTCGTTGTCGTTACATTCTTCATTGTTATGGCACCTCTTGATAGTTGCTAACCCTTCATTATGCAGGTCGTGATGACAAAGATGATGCTTATGTTATTATTATCAAAATCAGACATCACAGTTATCGTTGTGATTGTGGTTTTGATTATGATCTTTGCAGTGGTTACGAAGAAGCTTGATTATAATGAGGAACTGAATAATTATTATATTAATGATTATCACATAATTCCATAGTCGCCGTCTTCATCTTCTTTTTTATCATGATCAAGGCTGTATGTTTAAGAACATAGTGATACTTGTGGCTATTACGACAGCAGCCTTGTGGTGATACAGATTTCGACGACAATTATGCTGATGATTGCCGTTTAGTTTTCGTCTTCGTTATCCCTGTGATTGTTATTTTCTTCATATTCGACGTTTATTGTCCTAATCATAAAACTTTTTCGTGTAAGTCGTAAAGAACTCATGGTGAGGTTGAACTCATTGTCATTATTATTATTATTACTAGAAACCTATTCAAATGTCACATTTGTGGCAGTTTTGATCACGGTAATGATAACGTAGTGAATATCAGTAAAATAAAATTGTGAGTGCCACATGGCTGTGTCATTGTTGTCATCGTTATTTTTATCTTCGACTTCCGTAATGGTTATCTTTGTTGAACATGGCCATTTACACAAGACAACTCGTATTTACTCTGTCTGTAATAACTTGCCTTCACCATATGTCGTCATTTAAGTGATAAATGCATATCCGGCTTGGTACTTTTAAATTTCTTTGCATTTATCCCCAGCTACATGTTGGCGAAGGAGAAATGATGAAGCTCTTACTTAAGACACTTTAAGG